TGTTCTTTATGAAATAAATGTATGATGAAACGGGTGCATATTATATTTTGTTCTTTATGAAATTAATGTTCATAAAACTGTTTCAATGTGAAAAGGTTTCATTATAAAATGGTTTATTTTTGTTTACTAATTTTGCCCTTAGTATTGAAATAAAATAAATTTGTAATATTTTTTATTTTTTAATTTCCTAAAATAAAGTAAACTAATCTTAGCCATTGATCAAGAAAATGGATGAATGAGATTGGTTTACACGGTTTACATAAATTGGGCAAGTTTTTATTTGCACGCTCCTCTATTATTTATATATATATATATATATATATATATATATATCTCAAGCAGTACTAACCATTTTGCAGAGAATCTTTGATCCCTTTTGGAATTGGAGTGTTTGGTAACAAAGACTTGAAGTAAGCTTCAGGGTCCATTGCTGCATGACTTGCAATAAGCGCCAGCTAAAACCAACAGTAAAATAAGAAAAGATTGTATCAACATTACAAGGCTGTTTGGCAGTTGCTGAATAGTTTGCTATAGAATAATTAATTAAAAGACACTTATGAGATAGTGCAAAAAATGAAATATGGTTGCTTAGTGATTGTTCAGATAGAAATTAAGGCGCTGAATGGTTCAGGGACGCCCAAAATACAAAATCATTCAATGGGTTTTAGAACCGCAAACTTTTTTTCTACCGAACAAGATTCACCTCTTAACGATTCAGAAGCTGCATCTTAATGAAACTATCAACTTAACTGTTCTTTGCAAATTTTCAAGAAATCTTCATAGTATTGTAATGAATATTGTAATGAATGTTGAAAAAGATGATGATAGTTGTACTCACAAAAAGAACAACTAAACGTTGTAGAAAATGGAATCCCATTGCTGCTGACAGATTTTCGTTCACAACTAAGAGATATGAGTAACAGAAGCCAGCTGATGAAGAAAAAGGATGGAGTTCGTGAGTATTTATAGAGAGTGTTGGTCTCTAAGCGTCATAATAAACCTCTTTATAGGACTTGGTTTATATGACCAAAAAATAAAGTGTCCTATCTAAAGACGTTGTAATAAGTTTATATGACTTTTTTGACGTCGTAATAAGTTTTTTAGGACACCTTTAATATAAAACGTCTCATTAGCAACTTTATAGGACATTATTTGAAAAATTGTCTTATAAAAACAGGTGTCCTATAAAAAACTGAGTTTATAGGACATTTTCTCAAAAGTGTCTTATAAAGTTGCTAATGTGACGTTTTGTATTAAAAATGTCCTAAAAAATTTGTTAAGACGCCCAAAAGCGTCATATAAACTTATTACAACGTCTTTAGATATGACGCTTTATATTTTTGGTTCTATAAATTAAGTCATATAAAGCGGTCTATTGGGACGCTTAGAGATTGGAGGCGTCCTATAAACCCAATTTTGTTGTAGTGATTGCAAGTCTAACGAGGGGGCGAACCCACTCTATTGCATACGGTGGCATGTGCCACGGCTTAGCTCCTCCGTCGTAATATAAAAAGTTATAGGGTTGTGAAAGGTGTCACCATTATCGTTTTGTTGTGTGCAACTGTATATATTTTGAAACTACAATGATCATACAAGCTTCACTCGGTAGAGGTTTGGTAGAGCTGGTTTGCAATGCCTTTCTCCCACCATAGGCTCGGGTTAGAATCCCGTTTGGGTCATATTCTTGGTTTTTCGCTTTTAGTTTCAGATTTATATATTTTTGAAAGAATTTGCAATAAAAGACTCGAACACGTTACCTCACGTCACTGCAACAAAATTTGGTTTATAGGACGCCACCAATATCTAAGCGTCATAGTAGATTGCTTTATAAAACTTAACATATAGGAACAAAAAATATAGCGTCATGTCTAAAAGCGTTGTAATAAGTTTATAATACGCTTTTGAGCGTCTTAACAAGTTTTTTATGACACTTTGAATTCAAAACGTCATATTAGCTATTTTATAAGACAATTTTGAGGAAGCGTCCTATAAACTCATTTTTTATAGAACACTTGGTTTTTATAAGGCATCTTTTCAAATAGTGTCCTATAAAATAGGTAATACGACATTTTTTTATAAAAATATTCTAAAAAACTTGTTATGACGCCCCAAAAACGTTCTATAAACTTATTACAACGTCTTTGATAGAATGTTGTATTTTTGGTTCTATAAATGAAGGCTTATAGAGTGGTCTCTATTAGAACGCTTACAAACTTTTGACCAATTTTTGTTGGAGTGTGTATGAAAAACAAAGAAACTAACAGATCAATGATAATTTTATAAAAAAGATCTATATCTTTGTTTTTTAGAGTTGTTTGTTTACCTCTTAATAGTTCAATTAAGAGACAGTCTCTGAATTATTAAGAGGTGAATCTTGTTTGACAAAAAAAAATCTGTCTCTTAATGGTTCTAAAACTCTTTGAATGATTTTGTATCATGAGTCTCCCTTAACCTTTAAGCGCTCTACTTTCATTGTAAACAATTACCGAACAATAATATTTCATTTTACATTTACATGGTGTCACCACAAGAAAAAATTTCTACTTCTCACCCGCCACATAGTTCCGGTAACCAACATTTTTGCTTTCGAGCCTTTTTTTCACGCTTTTTCCTGAGGTGTGAGAAAGCTGAAATCAATAGGATTTCCTTAAACTACAAGAGTGGTGCATGATTGGTTCGAAGTTGGCTCCAAAAGTCAAAAGTACCAGGAGGTCTCAGGTTCAAATCCAAGGAGCAATAAAAATCCCCTTGTGGCCACGGAGGCTCAAATGCGATGACTCCATCTGCAAAGCAGGTGGTCGCCCTGGGATTAGTCAGCTCACATAGCGGGTTGGATATCCATGTTAATAAAAATAAAAAGATTTCCTTAATCCTCCCTTAGGAAGAGCATGAAATTTTTTTTCTTTTCCGTAGGAACCAGGAGATTGGATCTAGCTGTAAGAAGAATGTTTGGTATAAATAACTCACTTCGTTATTTTTGGGTGCGAAACAGTGTCAAACCAAAATACCCAACAAGTATTAGCTGACATAATTTTTGTGAACCGTCATGTTTGCCGTATAATTCCAATAACAAACATTTTTGTTTTTTTGGCCTAACTTCAAGTGAATCATACACATTGCATGATCTGAACACAGATGTATTTATTCTCAACGACTTCTCCACCAACACGTATATAGATCACCCTAGAGTCTGAATTGAAGCATTATAGAATAGCTATATATAAATTTCAATAAGGGTTGTTTGTTTACCACTTAATAATTTCATTAAGAGGCAAGCTCTGAATCGTTAAGAGGTGAATTTTGTTTGGCAAAAAATGAGTCTGCCTCTTAATGGTTCCAAAACACTCTGAATGATTTTGTATCCTAGGTCTCCCTTAACCATTCAGCGCCCTAATTTCATTGTAAACAGTTACTAAACAATTATATTTTATTTTGAACTATATCATGAGAGCCTCTTAATCATTCTGATCAGTTAATCATTCTGATCAGTTAATCATTCTGCACCAAATCATTCAGCAAATGTCAAACAGCCAAGACAATAGCGATTTATATTTAATTATGAGCAACAAAAATAACTTAGACAAATAAAAATTTCTCATGTTTTTCGACTGTGAAGCACTTCAGATATCAAAAACAAATCGTAAGAAATTATATATATATATATATATATATATATATATATATATGGGCCTATTCAAGGGAGAACTGAGTTGTTTGTGGTAACTGTGAGAACCAATATTAACCACAAATCAATAGATAGATTAAGAAATTTATAAATTTGGTAATTATAAATTAAAATCTTAATGCAAGGATATTTTTGGTATTTTAAAACTCTCCTCTCTCCTCTCTTCTCTCTCCGGCCATCGTTCTCCGGCCTCCGGCCACCGTCCTCCGGTGATACCACTATAATACCACTGTGATACCTAAAAATATTAACTCTGTTAAACAAAAGAAACAATGTGATACCCAAGCACATATATGATGCATTGTGATACCATTGTAGTATCACCGGAGGACGGTGGCCGGAGAGAGAAGAGAGAAGGGATGAAAGTTGTAAAATACCAAAAATATCCTTGCATTAAAATTTTAATTCAAAATTGCCAAAATTATAAATTTCCTAATTTATCTATTGATTTGTGATTAATATTGGTTCTCACAGTTACCACAAACTAATTAGTTCTCATTTGATTAGGCCCATATATATATATATATATATATATATATATATATATATATAACATTCACATTGGCAAAAACATTATCCTACCGTATATAAAATTGTCTTTTAAACAAGTTAATAACTACATTAATGTTTATTGATTTATTATTTTCTTAAAAAATAAAAGAATTGTTATGTTTGGGGAATTCGTGAGTATATCGAGAAACCAATGAGCATAGAACTTGGATAAAATCTGAGATTCGAGATAGCTCGTTTTCCTTAAGTGCTATACATATTGAGCCAAATCTATTTGGATGTCATGAAATTCATTCGGGATAATCTCAAATTTTCATAACTATTTTGGCGCTACATTTTAAACCAAAATAATTGTAACTACTCTGTCGATAATAACTCTTCATTAAATGGGAATGATTGCTAGAAATAAGCAGTGAGCGGTTATATAATACGACAATTACATATAAGTGGTAATCTGTCAGCAAGTTGATCACATGTGAACCATCAGCTAGTTGAACGTATGTGGTAAACCTTCAACGAGCTAAACATGTACAAGTAGAAAATTTTCAACGAGATGAACATGCACAAGTAGCAAACTTTCAACGAGATGAACACAAATGAACCATCAGTTATAGTGTTCAGTGCCAACGCTTCAGCTATGGTGTTCTCTTCAGTTGAACAACCACTGATAATATTCTAACAAAAACGCACGACCCGTGCATTTCTTATGACCAAAGAGGCATGGCCTATACACTAGTGAATAGAAAACTTTTGCCAACGAACTTTTCCCTGAGAAATTCGTCTCTAAAGGGTGATTCGTCACAAAACCGTAATAAAAGTTGGTGGGTAAATCAAATCAATGACAGATTACCCAGGAATTCTTTGGATGATCTGTTGGTATTTTCTCGAAAAAATCGGATTCTATCGAACCATTCGTATTTTCTAGATGATTCAACGGAGGCAATCACCGACAGAAATTTCCCTGAGTGGTTTTTGTTGGAAATGTTAGTAAGGTTGGAAATTTATTCTCCATCCTACGTTGATAGATAGAAAAACATTAGAGAATCTTATAAGAGTTCCCTCTCAATTGGGCATTGAACTTGTTGATGGACTCATAGTGGGAATCATGAGTGGAAGACCCAACACACACATGTGCGCATGGCTGAGGGTGCGGGATTCACAAAATTGGCACGAGGAAGCACACTTTGCACTCCTGAGTATCGTTTTGGTACAAGTTAGAGAGATATAGATAATTACTAGTTATATAATTAACTGTTGATT